TTATTTTGTCTACAACTTGCATTTCGCTTTGAGCTAACCGCCTACGAAAAGTAGAAACATTCCTCTGGTATACACCTACAATACCACACAGTCTGAGATTGATAGAAAAATGTATGCAACATGGCAGAAGGATGACAACAGTCTGCGCTAAGAGCTGACAACAGTCTGCGCTAAGAGCTGACAATAACGCACGCCTCGCGGAAGTCTCTTCAGCGGGTGTTAGGAGGGAGAGAGAAAAAAGGCTTTTAAGCGCTAAAGGCGTCAAACAAAGCGAAACACCTCTCGAGCGGCTATGAACCTTTRTGTTGCGCGCAGTTAAACAGCCTAGTTGTGACGCCACGGCTGTGGGATGTGACATTTATTGCGACGTATCTTTTACAATTTCCTCAACAATTCATGGGAGATTCCTATTTACACGATTGATAGCCTAAGACCAATCTATTTTAGGGAGGATGGAAAAACTTTCATTCTGAATAAGGTGTTAGGGAATGATAACGGCTAATCGGTCTACTGAGCGTACTATTTGCAATAGCATTACTCATTTTGAGCCCCAGCATACATTATTGGATAATATTCGACCGAATAGACGAATAGAACACGTTCAATAAATAGCAGTCGTAGCAGAGAGTTTACACGAATACTGTGGAAAGTCGATTCGACGCCGTTCGTAGGAAATCGGACTAACGTATGGAACGTCTTTTCGCATTTTACGTCGAGATCTTAAATTGAAAGCGTACAAAATACAGTTTGTACATGAAACTGACCTCGCTCGACCTTCCTAAACGTTATCGATTCGCTCTTTGGGCTCTTGAAAAGTTCCAAGCACCTCCGACGTTTTCGAGCCAAATTTTGTTCATCGCTGAATTTCGGGCTCAATGGGTATGTAAACAAGCAAAATTACCGCATTTGGGATGAAGAGCAACCTGAAGAAGTTCAAGTGATCCTATATCATCTAGAAAAAGCAACATTTTGGTGTGGTTTGTGAGCCCTTGGAATCATCGGCCCATATTTCTTCAAAACAGATGTTGGTGAGTACTTTACCGTCAATGTCGTCCGTTATCGCGCCATTTGAGGCTTGAAATTGATGCTCGTTATCTCGGCGACATTTGGCTTCACAAAGATGGCGCCATTTCTCACACATCGCATCAATTCATTGATTTATTGAGAGAACACTTCGGTGATCAGATAATCTCACGTTTTGGGCCGATCAATTGGCCACCAAGATCGTATGATATCGCACCGTTAGACWTTTTTCTGTGGTAATATGGAAAATTCATTCATATAACAAGACGAGAGCATCGGAAAGTTGGCTCGGTGAAAGAGTAAAGACGAAATTTAACTTATTTTCGTTGTAAAGAAAAAGATCGTAGTTTTGAGATCAACAACTTCTAGTTAAGGTTAGTAACTTAAAAATTTTATAGAGAAATTGCTCAGTCTTTCAAGCAAATTATGGACTTTAGCTCATGTAATATGTACCTAACTCGATCGATTTTACAAAAGTTCAAGAATTGTATAATACAAACCAAGATCCACCCAACTTGCACCAGCCAGTGTCTAAGTGCAGCTAACTAGAACTTTGACTCTTAGAAAATAGTTGTCAACTAAGAGTTATTACAATTGGTTTGGCAAGAATGCTGCTATGACACTCACCTGACAGTCAAGAATGCGTTTTCTTCACTTCAAAATGCAACAACAAAAGCAAAATGCTAACAAGCTCATATGTGAGTATATATTAAATTCTAACTGTGCCTGCTGCAGTGGCCGAGAGAGTGAGTGAGATTGGTACGTCAAACGAACGTATAACGCAATATACACAGACATGCATATACACTTACGTATATATATATATATGATGCAGTTATGTATATAGCCAGCAGCTGGCAACGCGAAATTGTGCTGCTTTCAATTTGCAATACTTCCCGCATTTAATGCACCGGCGGTCCGAGCACCGAGAACCGGCAACCAGCTCTTGGACGCGCCGCACACTTGGTGGGCAACTCGAACGAACGAACTACAGTAGCAGTTCTCCAACTATTTCATACCGGTGTTTATAGTGTTTAAGCTGCTTCTGTGTGCGTCTGCTGCTGGTGAGTTTTCAACATATTGCCTGTTAGTGCTTGTAAACAGTAATTAATGAGTCGTCGTCGTCGTTGTCGTTGTCTGCTTTTTGTTGTTAGCACACTTCTTATTCCTTCTTTTTTAGGTTATGAGACTAAGCGCTGTTTAATGATGAGAACTTTTTGTGCGAAGGGTGCAGAGCCAAGAGCAAAATGTTGATTCAATAAGAAGTCAAGTCGCGAGGAGTTGCTTAATGGCACACAGTGTGCCACAGATTGTTTTTTGTTTTTGTTTTGAAGAGGAATTTCTGTTYAGAGTGGGCATTTCGAATTGCCATTTATGAGGTGGTGTTGGACAAGTTTGCACGCTAGAAACTAGGTTAATTCACCACGATTCGGGATATTAATTCGCAATGCTYTGGCTAATAAAGCTAGTATACCAAGAGTGTATATAGGAATATGTACATRCATATAGTACACTTAAGCGACATTAATATGAAATAACATTAGAAACGTTTGGCAACCCTGTAAATTTTGAATAAATAAATGACTATTGTTTAATTTGCAATATAAAATTCCTACATAAATTTAAACCTTCTTAAAAGGCTGTTTAAAAAATATTTTTAAATAGGGTTGCCAACTKTGAAAATATTACCGAAMATATATATTTAAAATTTTAGAACACTTTCATTAGTATTGCATATAAATTATTATCGCGCAATTCAAAATATCACTATAATCGGTAGTTTTGCGTCYAGGGTTGCCAATTTATGAAATGAATTCAAAATAAATAAATTATTTTTGCTTAATTTGCAATACAAGATATCAAATAAATCTAAGCCTCCACTAAAAGACTGTCTTATGAAATTAGTTTTAAGTGGGGTTGCCAACTTTGAAAATTTTACCGAAAATTTATATAAGAAAAGTTTAATAGAACACTTTCGTTAGTACTGCATACATATTATTATGTCCAATTTAAAATAACACTATCATCGGTGGCTTTGCTAACAGAGTTGCCAACTTTTAAAATTAAATATATATAAATAAATTAACAATAATTAATTTGCAATATGAACTTCCTACATAAATCTAAGCCTTCATTAAATGGCTGTTTTATAAAAAGAATTTTAAGACGAGTTGCCAACTTTGAAAATATTACCGAAAATTTATGTATACAAATTTTAATAGGACACTTTGATAAGTAYTGCATATATATAATTAATTGAAGCTCTCACTATAGGCGGTAATTTTGCGACCRCGGTTGCCAATTTTTAAAATGAATGTTTCGTCGCATTAACGACTGGGATTTGCTTATCAAATGTCAAGGCGGTGATYCATWTTTGAAGCGCATTGTTACTGCGACGAAAAGTGTGTTCTTTAGAAGAAATGTAAAGTACAGTTGTGGTCTAAAACCAGCCAAAACCACATCGAAGGCCGATAGTCCCAAAAAAAGGTCAAGTTTTCTGTTTGGTGGGATTTCAAGCGGATTGTTTATTTGGAGCTTTTGTGCGACAATASCTTGATTAATTCTGAAGTGTATTGTGATCAGTTGGACAAAGTGAGTGATGCACTCAAACTGAAGAGACCAAAATTGATCAACAGAAAAGGAGCAGTGTTTCCCTCGTATAATGCGAGTTCTCATATGTACAAGTGTGATAACTCATATTTTTCAGACTTGGCACCTTCGGACTATTGCTTGTTCCTCTCTCTGCTAAAATTTTTGAATGGGGGAACCTTTATCTCAAATCGGCACGTCAAAAACCACTTGTAGCGTAGCAGCAATCTTTTGCCTGAGAATATATTGGGTAGTCGAAAAAGTCTTTTCGTATTTCTAATCAAGCTTTTATAATAAAAAAATCAGTTTCAAAGTGCACTAAAAAAGAAGTTACTTAGCGAAAAACTCAATGAGTTAATTTAACAATAGAAACCTCATACTTTATAAATTTTTACAGATAGTTTAATTTTTTTTTTAACTGCTTAACTTTTCATTCAATAAAGAAAATCTTTAAAAATTATTGGTTTGCGGAAAATTTACAAACACACCCAAGCCCTCCCATTATTTTGTTCTTGTTCATTCATTTTCTTCTTCGACTCACCTTAAAATATTTGGGTGGGATAATTTGTTCAGCAACTGCACCTCCCTGAGCATATTTGGYCGATTTGCACGTAACTGATTCATTTTCAGCACCATAACTTCACCAGTTGTGCGATGWGTGACCTGAAAGTTAACAAATATTAGAAAATAATTAGTAAAAKATAAGTTAATTGTCAACATACTTATTAATAAACAAATGCTTACTTTTAAGAAAATTTTATTTGCGTTTCTAAATATATGTAGAATGTATTTATGTACTATAAAACAAGAAAAAACGTTAAATTCGTTGAGATCGAGGCCAAATGCCCCTCACAAAGTATCTTCTATAAAAGAGCTTGATTTTGTTTGATTAGATTGTATGACAGCTATATGCTATAGTAGTTCGATATTAACTACTTTTTCGGAGATAGTACCGTTATCTTGGAAAATAGGTTGTGCCAAGTTCCATGAAGATACTTTCTCAAATGAAAAAGTTTACCATATAAGAACTTGCCTTGATCGTTCAGTTTGTATGGCAGCTATATGTAATAGTGGTCCGACATGGAAAATTTTTTCGAAGATTTTTACTTTGTCGTAAATAATAACCAATGTCAAATTTCGTAAGAATATCTGGTCAAATAAAAAAGCTTTTCATACAAACACTCGATTCCGATCGTTCAGTTTGTATGACAGCTATATGCTATAGTGATCCGATCTGGACAATGTTATCGTAGATTGTACAATTATTTCAGACAATAATTCTTTTTCTTCATAATAAAAAAAAAAGATATAACTAATATATCACATATACATATAAACAATGCATAACCAATTATTAACCAGTTTATAAGCAATACTAAAATTTTGTTTCTATATGAATCGCTGCTATTATATCGTTTTTACTTCGCCTGTAAACTTAGAAAAGTGATGTTCTGTTAGTTTTCATTTTAGGTGATTCTAAATTTTTTTTTTTTTTGTGTTACTAACTTCTTGGCAAACCTAATCTACCCCATTTAGGGTATATAAAATACAAATGATTTCAAAATATGTGTTGGCGTTGTTTGACTTGCGCCGCTGAATTGGGTTAATTTTTATGTGCCGCAATGTCGCCATTACTCCCAATGTGACAGCTGTCTTACCAGCTAGGAACCACATTTCGAGTTCAAGTTGCACAGCACAGCGCAACTGTTGGCCCCACATTTCACTCGGCAGTGGCCTTTGAAACGATCCGACACACACACACACAGCACACACGAACGAACGTTCGCGCTTCCCAACCCAGTTTCACAATTGGAGGCGAACTTAACTATAACTCACGTCTGGGTGCCAATAGGCACCGCGCAGAAGAAGTTGCCACAGCATGTTGCAAGGTAAGTAGGCTATATTGAAACGAGGTGCGTGCAACAAGAGCATATAATTAAACTTTTACCGGCACGAACTAATGAAATTGTTTATATTTTAATAAAAAATGCGAAGATTTTAAATGTAAAACAGAGCATTTCCGCTGCACAGGCGCACAACAAGAGCGTGGACAAAGCGGCACCAAGCAATTCGTTGTGTACGAAGCAAGTACTGGCTGTGCATACTCGAACTGTCATTGACGAATTATCACGTTCGCAGACAAGTCCAAAATAAAAAGGCATACAAATTTTAAAATAATAAAATAAAAATAAAAGCGAAGCACCACACCGCTTACTTGCGGCTGCGCAACCTTTTTGGTAGCAGGTGACAGGTGTCATATAATGCAACCGGTTTCCTTCGCCGTTTTTGTTTTGTATTTGTTTCAAGTATTTATTTTCATATTTTTGTTGTAGCTGAAGAATGCAAAAGCCATGTGCTCATGTGTATGTGTGTGTGTGTGGTGAGTGGTTTTTCCCAAAATTGAAAATAGTCATGTTAAAAAACGGCAAAAAAAACTGGAAGTAAAACTGTGTGGAAAGAAATGCTGGAAATGCAGCCGAAGACATTGCGCGAGTGTTGCGTTGCGATGGCGCTTGAACCGGGTAGACGGGTTTCGCGACATTAGCATCAACCGTTACGTATTCAAGAGGCGCATGCATGCGAAAACGTGGCTTATATACAACTATTTATATACACATGTGTCGTTGTACATATACAATTATATAAATATTAAGTACTTATATAATTGCTGCGACCAGCAAAATGGCAGACAATTTCAATACTATTTCATCAGACAGCAATATTTCGTCCCTACTGAGAGCTGGCGATAACAGTCAATGATATGCCGTAATTTGGATAGTGGCGAATCGCATAATCAACTTGCTTAAGGGTAGAGTATTTGGCACAATCAGACATAGAAAGAAAAGTAAGAGACTACACTAAAGAAATACTACTATTTTTTTTTTAGAAATAAACTCGTGAGCGGTTGAACTTAGCGAGCGGGGCTGGTGGTGAACCGAAGATGGATCAAAAAATAGTAAGATTTTGTTTATACTTTTAGAATTTTTAATTTATTCTTCAAAATCTATGTCGACGCCCTCAAATTAATGTCTCTTGTCCCCAATATACTTGTGCCAACGTTTGTTTTCCAATCCTCGAAACAGTTTTTAAATTCAACATCCAGAATAGCCTTCAATGTCGCCAATTGACTCAAAGCGTTTTCCCCAAAGTGGTCGTTTCTTTTCGACTTCGGCTCACCTTTCCCATGATATTCGGTCGATTGATCGTCAGTTTCCGGGTCGTAAGCATAGATCCAAGATTTATCGCCACTAATAATATGTTTCGAGATATTCTGGTAGTCGGAAAGCATTCTTTCACAGACATTAACGCGACGCTGTTTTTCGAAAAAATGTATTGATTTTGGAACCAATCGTGTTTTTTACTTTTCTTAGRCCCAAATGATCTTTCAAAATAGTTTCCACTGATCCTTGCGATATTCCAACGACGCAAATAAGATCTCTGACTTATGTTAATGTTAATCGTCGATTCTCAAACACCAATTACTTTATTTTATTGATGATATAATACATTAGGGTGGTCTCTTGACACGATAATGTAACTAAAAATTATAATAAGTAACGAATCATACAATAAAAATTAAGTAAACCCAAAAATTCAATTTAAAATTCTAAAGCTTTCCAATCGATTCTAGACCTGCTCTTGCTCTTATTTCTTTTCCTCMACAGAAATTACTCGAAATAAATTTGAGAGGTTCAAAGCGAAAATTAAAAAAGAAATAAATAGGTAAATCTATACGTTCGCTTCTAAGAGCCTTTAAAAATTTGTTTKCTATCAATTAAGTAAAAGTTGAGCCACTGAATAAGTATCAAATTATATCAAAATATATTATGATTCAAACCAGTAATGGCGCCACAGTTATGACCTTACAAAACAAATGACCTTCAATAAAAGTGAACAGGATTGTAAAGCCAGCTGTTGATTCATTTGCAGCAAAATGAAAAGAAAGCAAAATAGCAACAACTGCACAAATGCCGAAGGAAATCTTTTATGTTCACAAACTAACGAAAGCACGCACACATACACAAACACACGCGTGTGACATATCTCCAACGTTTGAGAGCAAGCGCATAAAACTTTACAGTAATAATTCGAAAGTGAAAAGGCTGCATATTTTTTATAATCAATAGTTAAACAGACATRTGCAAATGCACAAGTTGTTTGTTTGTAGTGTTGTGTAGTGGTGGCGGGTTGTTAAAAGTCCGTATAATCAGTCGCACTCGACAAGCGGGGTATTGACGATATTTGTTGCATTTTTTGAGTATTTTCAGAG